TTGGAAACATTTTGATAGAACTTATCCAGATTTTGCCACTAAACCAAGGAATGTTAGGCTAGGTTTGTGTGCGGATGGTTTCACCCCTTTTTCAGTTGGGGTTGCACCATACTCTTGTTGGCCTGTGTTTATTACACCGTATAATCTTCCACCTGAGATGTGTATGACAAGTCCATATATATTTCTGAATTGTGTCATTCCTGGTCTGAGTAATCCAAAAAGCAAGATTGATGTGTACTTACAACCTTTGATTGATGAGTTGAAATTGTTGTGGTCTGAGGGGGTAGAAACATGGGACATTTCTCGTAAACAAAATTTCAACATGCGTGCTACTTTAATGTGGACTATTAATGATTTTCCATCCTATGGAATGCTATCTGGATGGATGACTGCTGGAAAGTTAGCATGCCCCTACTGTATGGAAGCTACTAAATCATTCACATTAAAACATGGCAGAAAAAATTCATGGTTTGATTGTTACCGTCGGTTCTTGCCACCTGATCATGAGTTTAGGAGAAAGAAATATGCATTTAAAAAGAATAAAACTGAACGAGATGGTCCACCCCCAATATTAACGGGTGATGATATTTGGGAAAGGGTTCAAAATTTTCCAAAGGTAACTGAGGAACCACCGTACAAATTTGATGGGTATGGTGTTGCACATAATTGGACTAAACAGAGTATATTCTACGAGTTACCTTATTGGAAGGATAATTTGCTTAGACATAATCTTGATGTCATGCATATTGAAAATAATTATTTTGATAATCTGTTCAAAACTGTAATGGATGTGACTGGCAAGACAAAAGATAATGTTAAGGCGAGACTTGACTTACCAGAACATTGTAGACGACCGGAGTTGCATTTACAGGAGTCTACAAACAACAAGTTACTTAAGCCCAAGGCTAGTTATTCATTCACAATGGAACAGAAGAGAAAAATTTGTGAGTGGGTGGAAAACTTGAAAATGCCAGATGGATATGCCTCAAATTTGGGAAAGAGGGTTGACATTGAGCTTGGAATATTACATGGGATGAAAAGTCACGACTATCATGTTTTCATGGAACAGTTACTTCCGATTGCTTTTTCTTGATTGCCTGAAAACATATGGAAACCGATGACAGAGATCAGTTTGTTCTTCAAAGACTTGTGTTCCAACACATTGAGAGTAGAGAATCTGGTTAGGATGGCCAAAAATATCGTTGTTATTAGTAATAAGTTGGAGAAGATTCTTCCACCTGGGTTCTTTGATGTGATGGAACATCTTCCCATTCACCTTGTTCATAAAGCACTGCTGGGAGGTCCTGTCCAATATAGATGGATGTATCCTTTTGAGCGATAAGTAACTATAACATATTTATTCTTATTTCATAAATCGTTCATATATCTTTTGAAATTATATATCTAATATAAAATTTTACAGGAGCATTGGCAAGTCTAAAAGGGGTATTAAGAATAAACATAGGGTGGAGGGGTGTATGGTTCAAGTATATCTAGCTAAAGAAAGATCCCACTTTTGTTCTTACTACTTTGATGATTATGTGTCGTGTTTGAGAAACAGACCTAATCGACATGATGATATTGGGAATGATCCTGCAGTACAATCATTATCAATCTTCAACCAACCGGGTAAGGGTTCAAAAAAGCGTACATTGCACAAACTTACCGAAAAGGAGAAAAAATCTGTAGAGCTTCGTGTCTTGTTGAATAGTCCAGAAGTCCAACCCTTCTTAGAGTAAGAAAATTAAATATGTAAACAACATATATTCAACTCCGATTTTATTAAGGAAACTAACTGTATTTTCAATGTGATTCTACAGTTATTTTGTGAGCCAATATGGTCATGATCAAGTGTTTCCATCATTTATAACGTGGTATACTAATTGGGTAAGTGTTATAATATATACACCTATTAAAATATTAGTGTACTCTTCTTTATACTAACATTACTTTTAATTTACTAACCATATATAGGTCTACAATTCAGAAAATGCCGCCACATTTGATCAATTTTTCAAGGATATTTCTTAGGGACCGATTACAATTCACACAATGTCTCAATATAACGTAAATGGTTTTAAATTTTCTACAGAGAAATACTCAAAGAATAAGAAAACTAATAATAGTGGTGTTTGGGTTAAAGGTGATAATGGAAATCAAAATGAGAATGTTGATTATTTTGGCGTCCTACAGGAGATTGTAGAGTTGGAGTATTCGGGTTGGCCAATCAAAAGAATAGTACTTTTCCAATGCAAGTGGTTTGATCCAACTTCAAGAGGTACGAGGGAGCTTAAGCAGCATAATATCATTGAAGTCAAGCACACTAGGAAGTATGAGGCTTATGATCCTTTTATTATTGCACAGAATGCTAAGAAGTATGAGGCTTGTGATCCTTTTATTATTACACAGAATGCTAAGCAAGTGTAGTATGCACCTTATCTGTTGCGTAGGGATAAGTCTGATTGGTGGGTTGTAATCAAAACAAAACCAATGGGGCGAGTGGAAGTTGAGAATGAATTGGATGTTGCATATCAAAAATGAAATATCAAGTGTTCATCAAGTAGTGGATGCTGAGTTAGAAATGAATTTGGAGCATCTTGATCACATTTTAGAAGAATTTAATAGAGAAGAGTAGATATGCCAACACATATGGAGGAGGATGAGGAGGAAAGTTTCGAAGAGGATGAATGGATAGATGAGGAGGAAACTTCCGAAGATGATGCATGTGAATGGATAGATGATGAAGAAACTTCCAAAGAGGATGAATAACAATTTGTATGTTTAGTTGGTGGATTTTTAGCTATTCATATTTGAGTATACTTTATATTTTAGTAGTTTTAACTTTTGTTCGACATTGTGAAAGACTGTTTGGATTAAGCCTTATGTTATGATAACTTTGTTTGATATATTTGTTCGACATTGTGACATTATTTTGTACTACTTTGTTTTAATCTTTATATTTAATTGATATAGATGGTAGATAAAGACAAGGGTAAATAAAAAAAATCCGCTAATCCAAAAAAGAAATTTAAGGCCAATACTATGAGAAGGCCCACTAGGGTCGTGATATCTGATGAGCCCTCTTGAGTTAATATTTCAAAAAGAGCCTTAGTTTCAACTACTCACTCGGCACACCAGTCACATAATGCCTCTACTCATGTGGCTCCACTATATGGTTATACTATATCTACACCCATTGTGGTACCTAGTTCGGGTTACCAAACATTGCAGGGCTATTCACATCTTGGTCGTGGTTCTACCATACCATCAGATAGTGTTATTCAGTGCAATAGTTTGAATACTAGTAGTGGATTAATTGGACTTTCCAATCTTCATCTTGAATCCAATGGCTCAGAGCCTAATACTCCCACCACCCAGCACTCACATGCACATGGTCCTCAGCCAGGCGATAGAGACAATTTTCGGAGACTCGTCATCGAGCCATTAGGATACAAGTATGATTTAATTATGTTTCATCTTTCATTTATCTATTTATATTTTAATTGATTGATTATTTTTTGTTTACTCTACTTCGTCAATGAACTTGTATTTCAGCTTACGTCCAGATGTGGGTATGGCAAAGATTGTTTTAAAGTGCATCGGAACTCACTATAATGGTGTGTATCCGAATTGTAGTTCGATTCTACTTAACACCCAAGGGCAGATGTTCAACGAATTTAAGGTAAGAATATATATAAATTAAATTAACATCATATACATTTAAATTCTCTAGTCATTTGAACAATAAATATTTAGTTATTTTTTATTACAGAAATATTATGTATGGGCTCCCAAACACAAGGATGACGTTCAAGTGAACTTCAAGCTTAAAGCTTCAAAGTTGCTTTCTAGCACATTTTGTGACTGAAGAGAAAATAGAATTCCTAAGTTTATGTTACCGGATCGATGGGCTCTGTTACTGAAACATTGGAGTATTGATGAAAAATTTAAAAAGAGGAGTGAGATTGGGAAGATGGCTAGCGCATCAGAAAAGGGAGGCTCTTTGCACACTGGTGGAGCTATTAGCCAAGTTACTAGGAAGGAAAGAATGGTATACTTTCTTAATTTAGTAAAATAATTTTTTTCTTTTTTGATAAGTACTTTTTGGAGATTAATGAAATCAAATTCTATATATGTTATTTGCAGAAAAAAGAGTTGGGTGTACCAGAGATGTTCAAGGTTACTCACGTCAAGAAGAGTAAGAACCCCACAAAAGAAGAAAGATGAATTGAGCCATGTGCTCAAAAGAGACATATGTAAGAACTCCATTCAAACTAATCTTTTTTTTCTTTTCCTTGTATATATTACATTCTTATTCATAGAGTTCTTTGTTTAAATTATAGGATAGGTATATACAAATATCTCAGGAATATCGTAGTACTCTACCTCTTGAGAGTCAGGACAGACCATTTACACAAGAAGAAAATGAGAATGTTTGTACACAGAGTGCTGGTGAACCCATTAGAGGTTCAGTCTACGGCTATCCAGAAAAGGCGTATCAGAAGAAGAAGTCTTGGTATTGTGGTTCATCATCCTCAAGCTTTGATGGCGGGGATAGAGAGACAATATCTGCAATGGAGAGTAAGATAGCTTATCTCAATGCTGAGCTTGCTGTTGTAGCCGAAACAGAGAAGAAAGACAGAAGAAGAGAGAGGAGGAGATTGTGGCAGCAAAGGAGGTAGAGAATAAGAGGTATGCAGCGCTTCAGGCCCAACTAACTTTTCTTTTTGAATCAGGAAATATGCTTCCTCCATGTCTGGCCAGCAGTGATGGATCTGATCAGGAGGGTGATGAGAATGATAAGTCTGATAAGGAAAGTGAGGGTGATGAGAATGGTAAGTCTGATAATGAGAGTGAGGGTGATGAGGAATAGTGGTATCTATTTGACATTTTAGACTTCTATATTTTTGGAATTGTTTAATTTGATCATATTTTAGTTTATTTTGAAGTTGGATGAAGTTTAGTTTGAAATAGTTTAATGTATATGTTGAAAATATTGTGTTGTTTTAGTTGGATGAAGTTTATTTGGCTTTAGGTTGTTTTGGTTGGATGAAGTTTATTTGGCTTTGGGTTGTATTAGTTGGATGAATTTTATTTGGCTTTGAGTTGTTTTGGTTGGATGAAGTTTATTTGGCTATGGGTTGTTTTGGTATAAATATGCAGGTGGACAACTAAAAATTGCAGCAATTTGCTGCCTGTTTTGTAGCAGAAAATCGACCTCCGGAGGTCAGAATTTCAAAAATAAAAAATAAAAATACCGACCTCCGAAAGTCAGAATAACAAAACTAAAAAATAAAAATATCGACCTCCGGAGGTCAGAATTTTTAAAAATACAAAAATAAAAATACCGACCTTTGGAGGTCAAAATTTCAACATTACAAAAATAAAAATACCGACCTCCGGAGGTCGGAATTTCAACATTACAAAAATAAAAATACCGACCTCCGGAGGTCGGAATTTCAACATTACAAAAATAAAAATACCGACATTCGGAGGTCAGAATTTCTGCATTACAAAAATTAAAATACCGACCTCCATAGGTCAGAATCTCAAAATGCAAAAATAAAAATACCGACTTCCAGAGGTCGAAATTTTAAAAAAATGAATATTTCGACATAAATAAAAACTGACTTCGAGAGGTCAGTAAATACTGACCTCCAGAGGTCGGTATTGAATAGTGACCAAGCTTTTCCGACCTAAGCTGGGATGTCGGTTTTAGGTCGGTATTTCAGGGAATACCGTCTTTCGGAGGTCGGTATTCACTATTTTTTTAGTAGTGTGAGCACCGATATGGGTACCAGAAATGGTTCTCGAGTGCCGGCCACGTCCAGGGTGTAGGCTCGGGTCGTGACATGAGCTCTCCAAAATGTCCCAAAAACTGTAAGACTATCTATTTGGGCGATGTAAAGTTCCATTGGCTGATCCGCTGACCATTTTCGACGAGTATGTTTTAGAGCTTGGCATTATTTTCACCCAAAAATATTGTATGAGTTACGATGTTATAAGCAGAAGTATTTAAAGTCTCCAAAGTTAGAAGTATGCATTTCGAGGTGTAGTAACCTATGAAGTGGGGATAGTTATCAAGTAAATTGTACAGTTGCAGTCGTGTACCTAGTAAGTGATTAATGAGGGGTTTTCTTTTATATGTAGATTAAGGAGTAATAATTTTGTATGGATTTCATGATCAAAGGTAGAGGAATAGTTACTAGTCTGGATGAGTTAGAGTATACTTTAACCAGAAGGGAGTTTATGTCAATGTAACATTGTGGTAGTGAAGGCCATGTATATGTGCTGAATAAAAGAGAAAAAGTATTCATGAGGTGATAGATCTAAACGAAGCTTGTGATTTTTGAAGGGAGAGCCCCATGGTATTCATAGGGTTATAGAACTAATTAGGCAATGATGTATAGTGAAAGGGTAAATTGTACCAAAGTTGTGAAAGGGAATGTGACGGTAATTAGTAAATAGTTAGACAAGGAGATAAAGATTAACTACTTGTCATGAGGTCTTAGTGGGTGCGTGTTTCTTAATTTTATCTAGTGTTCGTAAGTTAGTATAGTATGTGAGCAATTAGATTTGATATTTGTGTTTCATACAAGGCAATAATCTTGAATTTGAGATGAGTGTCGTGATAGAAATGATGTCAATATGATGGTGATGATGTTAGTTTTGAGATATGATCTAGTAGGCTTGACATAAATTAGGTGTGGATTCAAGGTGTTAATCTTCGATAAATATGAGTGATATAAGTGTGGTATTATGAATCTTAGACGAGATCAATGAAGTGTGGCTAAGTCATTAGATTAACAAGAGCATTAAGAGGTGTACCCGATATCGTATGTGGTCATGCAAGGTTCTAATTAAGTTTAAGATTTCCTATGTGTGCCTAGATATTATATTTGAGTTATCAGTATGGAGTAGGCTGATTTAAGCATTATTCATTACCCTTAAGAATTTGGTCGAAGAAATCATATATAGCCAATGATGAGTCTCTTAAATATATTTCAAGTTTCCTCGAACTAGGTAGATA